TCTGAAGTCTCAGTGTGAAAAAGAGCCCAATCTACTTTGAGCTCTTGCTTTACACAGGAAGCTCCACCACCATCCCCATACTGCTGGGCTCTTGCAGACTGCACTGTCTACTTGAATGGAAAGCACCTCCTCTCTGGAGGGGAATCCCCACTTTGTGCTTGTCAGAAGAGGTATCAAGCCAATAATACCTCTCTTGAGTGCAGCTTACATGACTGAAGCCCAGGTGAGACCATCCCAGCACCTGAGCAGAATCCCACAGGAAGAATCTACCAATGCCAACTACATCATTTACCACATAGTTCTACTATGCCAAGCTCCAGAGGTAGGCAGCAAGATAGCCAGGGGGCTTTGCCAAGTCTATGAACCAAGGGCCATATTGCAACTCTTTTCTAGCAGTAAAGCTCAGGAAGAGAAATGAGCTCTGAATGAGCCAATGTTCAGACAGCAGATACTCCTAATGATTTCTGATATATGTCAAAGCCTAAAGATAAGGTTCTTTTCCCCAAATCCAAGCTTATATGCACTAGCATTTCTCAGGAATGCTTTCATATACCTGGAAGTCTCTTACAATCCCTAGAAAATAACAATGAGTGAAAGAGAGACAAGGAATTGCTTGTGCACTGCTCTATTGAGAAGGAAACTTTATCAAAGCCCTGTGACCTGAGGGAAGCCAGTCTCCTCCCTTTGTGTGTCCTGACCCCTCTTCTCCAAATCCTGTTTCCCAAAGGTGAGCATCTGATGAGTGATGCCAGACTCCAGAGATATCAGCATTCCCATTGACCTAGCTCTATGTGAGAGACAAAGTATCTCTGTTGACTTACTTTCCTGAAGTATCCTGTGTTATAATGCCAGTTTCACAGACAGGGAATTAAAAGAGTCACCCAAGTTCACAGTGAAGATGAAACCCCCATCTTCAGACCCCTTGTTCATGTGGCTATTTGGGTTACACCATGGTGTCTCCAAAAGTTAGAGAAAAGGAAACAGGAGTCACAGTAGTTGTTTTTAACTTGCTCCTAAAATCCAGCTAAATTAACTAAGAATGTTTTACATGGGAAAGGAAAGATCTATATTGGGACTGTGATACATTGCCTTACTGGATCAAATTCTCTCCTCTGCCTCCAAGTCTTTGACATGTGGCTTTGAAGTTCCTCTCAGGAGAATAACAGAATATATTGTCCACCCTTCAACTCTGAGACATACTGTGGCCAACAGCATGAGGCAGAAGTGGCAGGGTGCTGGTGCTGACAGCAGAGATCAGGAGCTACATGTGCTGCCCCTGGTACCTGAACTGGCACCATGAGAAGTGCAGGCCTGAGCTGCCTGCACTCAGATGGCCCCAGGAGGAGTGGGAGAGATGGGCAGAGCAGACCTCCCCAGCTAAGAAGCCCAGCCACACCTAATGGAGAGCAGAGCCCCTGCCACCCTGTATCAAAAAACCCTAGCAATTAGACTGGGGCAAGCGTCCTATGGGGTGGGGAACTTCCTGTTACTGTAAGGATTGGGACAAGAGTACTGCCTCCTCCATCAGGAATACCTACCCTGGGCGGTAAATTAGCGCCTACCTGTTGTTCAAAGTCATTAAAAATAAAAGTCTTAGGAGCCAACATAAGGCTGCCAACATTTTCTAAGCAAAGACAATATATAAAAATAACCACTCTTTACCACCACCATCATCTCATAAAAGATGAGACATTTTAACACTAAAAGTAAGGCTATGATCTTAAAACACAGCATGGTCCTTTCCAAGCAAAGACACTTGGCCCTCCTCCAGAACTGAGCCTTTTCCTTTCATTTTGTCACACGGCGATGAAAACTTGTAATAGCTCCGATCAGTGTATTAGCGACTTTCCTACATGCTTTATGGTAAAACTGTCAGGAGAACGTGCAATCAGTTGCATAAATCATGAGACTTAAATCTTGGTTCTGTTTGTTCTGTGACAGCATAAAAATTACCTTTTTCCCTATCAAGGTAGAAAATAAAACTAAAGATACATTTGAGCACCACCATTGGGCCTTCTCTGTCGGCTGCCACAAGCCCCTCTGAGCCCACAGCACAAATGACAACCCCCACCCCACCGGACACTTGAGCTGCACCCTGTGCCATGCTGTACCTCCACGATGATGATAATGGATGAAGGGGAAGGTGACTATTCAAATGGATGCTCCACCAGGGGTCCAGGAGCTCACAACATGACACAGTGAGAGGCCAAGGATACCCGGACCCATTCTAGGAACCCGTGGTTCAGCCACCCATGAATGTTGACCATCCTCTCACCCTAAGGAGACTCTTCAGCCTCCTGTAGGACATGTGGGACCCAGGAGGAAGAAGAGGTCTAAACGTGAATGGTAAGTATAACAGATTCTCCTGTCATTTAAAACTACCCAGCACATCATAGGCTGCAGCCTGGCTCTGGCTGGGGAAATGTGTGCAACTGTGCAGAAGTTTCAGGCCACTGTGTGGCTTTCCAAGTCTTTTCTTTTCTCTCTTCCATGAGGCCATCAGAGTTTCCAAGGGAGGCAGCTCCCTGGTCTGAGGCCCTCATCCAATTCTTCAGCCAACACCTAATGAGACATGGGTGAGAAATTAATGTGGCCAGAGTCATTAACCTTTTGAATGCACGTTACAAAGGTACGACCAAGCCTACCATAGGCACTGTGACCTGCCCGGTGGGGATTCTATTCCTGGAGTTGGGTGCTCAACTGTGACAACAGATGGAGACAGTGATATTCTGCACCTTCTGTCTGGATGTCCTTCTGTACCTGGCCCCAGGCAGTTGGAAGGCAGGGTGAGAGGCGGACACAGAGGTGCCTAAGATGGCGTGCTTTGGCCCCATTGAGCACATAGCCAACTTGACAGGCAAAGCTGATCTTCTCCAGTGTGATTCTGGTTTTCAGATCATTCCCAGTCCCTGGTGGGACTCACACACCTCCCAGAGCCCAGTGCAGAAAAGCAAAGGCTGTTTTTCCAAACTGAAAAGCCTGGATCTAATCCCAACTCTGACCCTTTGGCCTCAACTTCTGCCACTCTTCCCAAGAATACTTAGGGACACTTACAAGGTCCCCAACCTCAGGGGCTTAGACTCAGGTAAGAGAACAGACAAGGAGCAATGAGAGAGCTCACCTCTAGGGTGAGCTCTCTCAAACAGAATGAATTGAGAGAAACTGAAGACTGCTGTAGATAAAGAGTTCAGGAAAGGCCTTGCAGAAGAGAGGCTATTTCTGGCTGATCCAGAATAGTGTCAGCTGGGTCACCTGGCTGACAATGTGTCAGCCAGGCAAAGAATTGGGGAAAGAACAAAAGTAAGTAGAGCAACAGCAAGGACAAAGGACCTGAAATGGAAAAAAGGAAGGATCGTTTGAAGAATGGAAAAGGCCAGTACACTGAGGGTAAAGATGGGCAAGGAGCACATTCTGGCATGAGGTTGCGGTGGAGAATATGACCGGTCCCCTGGGGTGTTTAGAGTTCACTGCAGGTACAGGGGGAAGTAGAGGTACTGAGCAGGGGATTGATGGGATCTGGTTATGTTTGAAAGATTCTGGGGGTGGTGTGTGGAAGATGAACTGTAGAGGGGCAGAGTAAAAGGCCCAGACAAATGAGGACTCTCCTGCAGACTGGACTAGTGGTGCTGCCACCTCTGTGACCTTTGGCCCTTTAAGCCATCCCTTACAGTGCTGCACCACTGTGTCCCATCTGCAGAATGAGCCTAAAGGGAATGAGGATGCAGATGCACTCACTCTCCCCTACATGACTTCCTTTCAGTGCCACAGCTGCCTGTCTTGGAGCCAGACCATGCCCAGAGCTTACCCAAGAGGGCACCTCTCCAAATTGCCTGTTGGTCCCCAAGATATCAGAGTCAGGGGACTATAGGCCAGAGCAGAGGCTGGTCAAGCTCCTAGGCAGAAGGGAAGCAGAGAGAAGTGAGGGTCAACCGGATGATAACCATGACAGGTGAGATCAGTTCCAACTGGGGGTATCCCCAGGCAGACCTGAGCTAGTCAAGGCAGAGAGGCTCAGGGAGCAAAGCACATGTGCAACTTCTGCAGATGAACCTGAGGCTGCTGGAGGATAAGCAGGCACATGGAGTGAAGAGGAGGTGCCCCAGCTGAGACTATTCTGGATCAGCCAGCACCTAACTGACCTGCCAGCTGCCAGTAGACAGCTCAGCCAAGATCATCTGAGCTTATGTCATGCTAGAATAACATCCTAATTGACTCAGAAATTCATGAATACATAGTACACTACTGCTTTAAGCTACTTAATTTGGAGGTGATTCGTCATGCAGCATTAGCTAGCTGATACAGAGGGAACTAAAAGCCAGTAGTCTTTCCCATTTCCCTGCAGCAAGTCTGGAATGAAGACACAGTTCTGTTTCCCTGCCTGAAGCCACTGCAAATTCAGATCACTGGATCAGGGTCATGACCCTTGAGATGCATTCGTGAACTTGACTTTGTAAGTCTCCTAATACCTTAATACCTTATTAAAACTTCCTCCCCTTTTTCTCAGTCTCTTATCTGTAATGAAGGGACTGGAAGACTTCCATGGAGCCTCCTCGCTCTAATGCTCTGTTTGGATGACTGTGACCTCTTTATCCAGCCATCTGTCATGTAATCAGCAAGGATTTATTCAGAGTCTGCCGTGTGCCAGGCTATAGCCAGAACCCAGAGGCACAGGTTCAGACACCAAGATATAGGGCTGCCCACTGGCACCTCCTGCCCCACGGAGAGCTCACAGTCCTGTAAGTACAGGGAAGATGCCTCAGAAGAGTGCTGGCAGCCAAGCCATCATGTGTTGTCAGCAGTGGACAGGTCTCCTGTGACAGTGAGCCAAGGTTTCCCCAAACTCCAGGAGCCCCGCTGGAATTGTATTGGGAAAAACAGAGGCAGTTGGAGTCTGAAGTCTTATCCTCTGATTACAGCTGTCCTCCAAGACCTCCTTGTCCACACAGAGGGAGGCACATATACAGACAGCATTGGCCCCAGGGCCCACAAAGAGGTCCTACCATGGAACCAGGGGGCGATAGATTTGGTGTTCCTCTCGAAGCCAGCTTGGCGAGGCAGCTGCTCCTCCTTAAACCAGCGGACAATAACTTCTCTGGAGACTGGACGCAGTGGTCGCTCCCATGTCCTGCTGAGAAGAGAGAGGCAGGTGGGAGAGTTAGGCACAGTATAGAGGGAGAGAGAAGGGAAATGGAAGAGAGAGAAGAAAAGAGAAAGCCCACTAAGAATGAGTAAGCACAATGCCCTCATTCAGGCCTCTGAAATGGATTCATTGAGCATGGGTGCTTGAAGGTACTTTGCAGATTATAATGCAGCAGATACAATTATATTTCCAAAATATAAACAGTTATCACTTGCTTTAAAGAAAAATACACAAGAGGGAATGGAAAGAGGACAGAAGGAGATGTCTGTAGTGGGGAAGTATATTTTTCCTGAGGATGGCCAGGGCATAAAGATCAGCATGGATGAAGATGGGTCCTCAAGAGACAGGAGCAAATTCATTAATGTGTGAGTGTCCCCTGCCTCCACCAGGGAGTCCTGATTTTGGGTGCCCTGCCTCACCCTCTGTAGGAACCCCTGCCTTTTCCAGCCAGCCAGGCTTTTGTGAGGCAGAATCATGACAGTGAACAGAAGAGAAACCACAGAATCTGGAGAAATCACAGCTCTGGAGAGAGCTAAGATTCCCTTCCCAGGAAATAAAAAATAAGGACTGGGGAAAGGAGAAGGAAAGGGACACAACTGTCCACCAGAAGACCCCGGCCCAGGGGGCCAGTGAGGCACTGAGGACCACAAGAGGGATGAGCAGGAGCAGGTGAAGAATCTCAGAGGGACAAACTGGACACGTTTAATGTCATCTCACAGGGAGCCATGATTTCCAGTGTTTCATGTATGAACTGAAGTTCGTGGCTGCACAGAGACCAAGCCACATAGGACTGTGGTGACTTGTGGCTTGCACAGTGACTCTGACAGCACATGACACATGGTACACACCCAGCAAGTGTTGAATCACCTGGCAGCAAGGCCATGGTTCTTTAATTTACAATGAGAAAGTGCAGGGTCCAAAGAAGACTTTGGCCCACCTGAAGCAAAAATGCCCTCTTCATTGTTCCTAAAAGAATGATGAGAATCTTATTTTGACTTTGCTATTTCTCTAATAGGATTAGCACTTAGGAGTCATCCCTGTTGTCACCATTTTTTATAAAATTAACTCTCTATTTGCTCTGAACCAACACTATGACACTCTGAAGGGCTCAGTAACTCCTTTCAATGGATCCACTTACACACACATGTGTAAGCACAACACACAGAGACACACAGGACTAAGCACTATAGATTTCAGGAAAGATGCTAGAAGAAAGACAGAGGGTGCACAGCTTAAAGCCACTCTTAGTCAGTTTTCTGTTGCTATAACAAAGCACCCAAGGCAGGCTGCATATGAAAAGAAGAGGTTTATTTAGTTCACAGTTAGGGAGACTGAAAGGCTAGGATCTGGAGGGTCTTGTATGATGGCATCATTGTGGGAGTGTGTGCAAGAGGAAGAGGTCACGTCACAAAGGAACAAACAATACCGGGTCAGGATCAGGCCTTTGTGAAACTGGCTTCCCTGAGAATGCTGCCAGCTCTTTGCATGAACTGTCTTAGCCTATTCTCCAGTCAAACCTGCCCCACGCTGTAAGCACTTCCACCGGGCACCACTTAAGTACTGGCACAGTAGGAACCATGCTCCCAAAACGTCAACCACAGGAGACAGACACAGGAAGATGCACATATTCGACCACAGCAGTGAATGTGTTCCCATGACTTGGCCTCCCTGCCCCCACTCCAGGCTCAGCTTCACCCACCCACCATGACCCTGAAGCCGGGTCTACTCTCTACTCTGTCCTCACCTGGGGACTCCCCCTTCTCTCTCAGGGCCCTAGAAACCCTCACCCTACTGAGCAGCATCTCTTCTCTACCCAGCCTTTTCTTCCACACTTGCATTCCCCAAAACCAGCTGCACCATGCAGAAAGATCCTTACAGCTTCCAGGCCTCCAGCTCCTTAGAAGAAGGCAATGGCAGGTTATAAACAATAACAAAGAAAACCCAGCCCTGCTGGTCCCTCGGCTCCAAGTACTGAATGTGAAAGCACAAACTTTGACTCCTCAAAGTATAAACTCTTGTGATGGATGCTCCTGGTTAGAAGCCCCACTCCTGCACCAGGAATGCTCCTCCCTTCAGCAGTGCATATCCACCTCTGGGTAGCTCTGGCCCCATGGAGCTGAAGGCAGGGAGGCCACGGGGACCTCTGCTACAGCAGAGCAAGGAAGTAGATGGTGTCTCTGTCTGTGCCAGCATTGCTCCTCCACCTCCCTGGGCCCTTGGACTCTCCAGGATCAGGCCAGAGGCCACCCTGCCCTCCAGACTACACACAGCCAGGCTGCACCATGGTCCCTGCAGCTCCACCACATGGATCCAAGCAACAAATTATAAGTTTCTTTTTAAAAGCATAGAAGGGAGGAGGGCTTTTGAAGCTGTGCCGGCTGTGGCTTAGATCTAGGATTTGGAAGGTGATTGGATCATGGGGGTGCTGTACTCATCAGGGGATTCATCCAGTGGTCAGTTCAATTGTTCACATGCTGTTAGGAGCTGGGGCCTGGTTGGAAGAAGTGAATCACTGGGATATCACCAGAAAGGATGGATCCTTGTCCTCTGCTCTTCCCTTTTTCATCTTGCTCTCTGCTTCCTGGCTGCCAGGAGATGAACAGCTTTACTCCACTTGGCCCTTCTACCATGCTGTTTTGCCTTGGAGCCAGGCAACCATGGACTGAAAGCCCCAAACTGTGAGCCAAACGAAAATCCTTTTCCTTTCAGTTGTGGGTGCCAGATATTTTGTCCCAATGATGGAAAAGCTGACTAATACACTAGCTATGCCCATAAAAGCAGAATAAATTTCTTAAATAATATCATAAAAACTCAAACATTTTCACATGCCAGAAAACTCCATCCCAAAGGTCAAAATACAAACAAGAAATGGAGAAAAAATGTTTACCACAAACAAAAACATCCCTTTCCCTATTATGTAAAGCGTTCCTAAAAAGGGTTAAGAAAAAAGCCACTCTCACCATGTAAAAATGGATAAGAGGTAAACAAATCTGAAGACCCTTAAACATAAATAAATATGTGGTCTCGTAAATAGAAGCACACATTTAAACTTGCTCTGAGGTGCTACTCCTCACCCAGAACTATAGTTTGACCACACAGTGTTAGCTAGTCCAAAGGATAGGGGTGAGAATTGGCACCAGCTCTGTGAAGGGCAAGTAGTGATCCTATTTGGGGGAATTTCTCTTGCATGTATATATGATTAATTTCTACAAGGTAATCCTTTTGGGGCACTGTTGGTGATAACCAAAGTTGAGCAACACCACCAATGCCGACTAATTGAGCATTTACCAAATAACTTACAGCACACCCCTGCAGCAGACCACCAGGCAGCCATAATAAAAGAGGGAGGGGACAAGACTGTTCATGTTGGCATTTTGGAAAGAAAGCAGGAGGACATGTGAACAAGAACCATATTCATCCAGGGGGAGAGGGACCTGAGGAGAAGGAACACAGGAAGAGTGTTCCAGTGCATGCACATCCTTCAGCTTCTTGGTCGAAGAGTCACACATGCCCAGGAAGGACAGGACAGAAGGGAGAAAGCAGGAAGAAATAATGACATAGTCAGCACTCCCTAGACATGGGGGAAGGAATAGGGAATTAGGAGCACCAGGTCCCTTATTAAAGCACAACACTGACACCTCCATTACCTGGGGTGAACTGAGTCTCCAGATATTCCCTGGGCTCTCCCCAGGGAAAGTGGCTGCTTAGCAATGGTTAGAGGCTGGGAGCAGAGGGTCCATCTCTAGCCTGCCTGTAGGTGGGAACAGGTGGACCTGGAAAGGGTTCCAATGGTCTCTTGACCATCAGTCTGGGAAATCATAAGCTGTCACCTAAGTGTTCTTGCCAAATAAACCCCTGTGGATACAAACTGTGTGAAAGCCCCTGCCCTCACCTACACTGATCTGCAGACCTCTATGCACACTGTTACAAACCAGCACCAGCCATAGTCAAAAGAGGCCAAATTCTCATTTCCATGCTACTGGGTCCTACTTAACCCACTTGAGCCCCTTTATTACATAATAATCTAGGGCCCAGGAACTGTAAAACTGTATGCACACATTTTGGAGTATTTGCATATTCATGTTTTGAGGGGAAGAGTGTCCACAGCATTCCTGAAATTATCAAGGGAATCCTGGACCCCAAAGAGGTTAAGATTCGCAGAATTCCAAAGTTGATGGAAATGTGCAAATCCCCATGCTCTATGACTATCTTGAAAGGACCACAACAAATCCCAGCACTGTGTGTGATTATTATACACTAATACAAAGAGTTAAAATAAAAGAGGAAAATACAAAGATTACAGTGCTAGCCCTTAGGCCCAGCACACGAGAGGAGCCCAGCATCAGCAGCTTGCAACCCTGTGGTAGGCCTGCCTCTTCACTTGGAGCAACATAAGAGCAAGGAAGCAGTGCAAAGCCCTCTGGTAGGCTTGCCCCTTTGGCCAGCAGGAAAGAGGAGCCCAGCTTCATGGGCGCCAACACAGTGGTATCCATGTCCACTCCTTAGCCCAAACAAGAGAAAGACAGCCTCTCTGATACTCCTAGACCAAAATTGAAGCCCACTGGAAAAGTGAAGAAAATCTCTGCAATAAAGGCACACCACACCACCATAGTTGGTAAGTTGGAGGGACCAGCACCTCAAATCGGAGCCTGGTCTAATTTAAGAGGAAAGACAGCTGGAATCTGCAGTAAAACCTTGCAGAGTTCAACCCAGCAGGAGGTCAGAGATCTCAACTTGGGACTTACAACCAGAAATTAGCCTGAACATCAGGGGACAACTGCTGGCTTTCTGAAACTAATTAACTAGACCTGCACACTCCTTGCCACCCTATCTATTGTGTCAATAGAGGCTTGCCCTGAAGGAGGCCCTCTATTTCTATTTGTATTTATTAATTTCACAGTAATATTTTTCTCTTATCTTTAATCATTTAAAAATATTTTATCTATCTTTTTCTTTTCTCACTTTTTCCTTTTATCTTCTTTTTC